GGGGCTGCCATGTCCATGCAGCGTGCATCCGTAAACAAAGGCGAGCGCCGATCGCCACCGCAGTGAGGGACCGGTGTACGCACCGGGAGATCGAGTCTGGCTCTCGACTCGAAACCTGCCCCTCCGCCTGCCCTGCCGGAAGCTGGGTCGGCGGTTTGTGGGGCCCTTCAAAGTCCTGAGAAGATTGAACGAGGTGTGTTACAGGTTACAACTGCCTATAGAGTATAAAAATATTAACCCCTCGTTCCATGTGTCTCTTCTCAGGCCGGTGGTAGCTGGCCCACTCCAAGAAGATGAGATAGGAGAGACCCCTCCGCCCCCTTTGGACATCGAGGGGGCCCCGGCGTACAGGGTCCGGACCATCTTGGACTCGAGGCGCCGGATGAGTGGTCTCCAGTATCTCGTGGAGTGGGAGGGGTACGGTCCGGAGGAACGGTGCTGGGTGCCCAGGAGGGACATACTCGATCCATCCCTCCTGACTGAGTTCCACCGTGGGCATCCCACGCGCCCGGGTCCGCGTCCTCCTGGCCGTCCCCGAGGCCGGGGTCGGCGCACGGCTGGAGCCGCGCGTCAAGGGGGGGGTACTGTCACGGATTCTGCCGAGACTGCTCCTCCTCCTGGTTCGGGCAGGCTTCGGCGTTCGCCGTCCCCGGAGTACTAGCTGCCACCGCTCTGTTTCGTTATTTGATTGCTTTTGTCTGTCTGTTACACCTGTGTCCATTTGTGTGTTGATTACGTGTCTTATAAGTTCCTTGTTTTTGCACTAGACTGATTGTGTGTTGTTATTGCTGCCACTTTGTCAGAGCTACGTGTTTGCACTCTGTTTTGTTTCGTGTTTAGTGTTTACGCGTGTGCGTAATTTTCCCTCGCCTCTTGGTGTTATTCGAGGTCGGGTTTTTTCCTCATAATCATTAGACTATTAAAGTCTGTTGGACTTAACCTCTGTGTCCTGCGCCTGACTCCTCCACCACATCCACATCGGTTCAAGTGACAGTTATGAACATACCACATGAGATAACTGATTAAAATGAAAAGATAATTCAAATCAAAATGTCATTTTTTTATGAAATATTGTTGTAATAACTATCCTGTATCTTAGGAAATACATATTTTTTGCAAAATGTTGAACTTGCTATGTTTTCCTTCTAACTTTACAAGTGTTACGGTAGCATTTCTCAAACTCGGTCCTGGGGACCCCAAGGGGTGCACGTTTTCGTTTTTGACCTAGCACTACACAGCTGATTCAAATAATCAACGCTTGATGATGAGTTCATTATTTGAATAAGCTGTGTAGTGCTAAAAACCAAAAACGTGCACCCCCATGGGGTCCCCAGGACCGAGTTTGGGAAACGCTGTATTACGGTAATAGATTTTGTAGTGCATGGTCTTGGAAAATGTGTAAAAAGTCATTAAATCTGAAAAGTTAATATGATTAATTTAACATAGACCATTTGAGATGATATTTTATCCATTACAAAATAAGAAGAAACATATGTTTGTCTTTTCAAAATTTACCAAGAGTAATACCAAGTTCGTGAAAATCTCCCCAATACTATAATAACTATGTGAGAATGCTGTTCATAGACTACAGCTCAGTGTTCAACACCATAGTCCCCTCCAAGCTCATCACCAAGCTGGGGACCCTGGGACTGAACACCTCCCTCTGCAACTGGATCCTGGACTTCCTGATGGGCCGGCCTCCAGGTGGTGAGGGTAGGCAACAACACCTCCACCACGCTGACCCTCAACACGGTGGCCGCTCAGGAGTGTGTGCTTAATCCCCTCCTGTACTCTCTGTTCCCACACGACTGCATGGCCACGCACTACTCCAACACCATCAAGTTTGCTGACGACACGTGGGTGGTAGACCTGATCACCGACGGCGATGAGAGGTCAGAGACTTAGTAGTGTGGTGCCAGGACAACAACCTCTCCCTCAACGTCAGTAAGATCAAGGAGAGGGCACGACAGCGCCTCTTTCCCCTCAGGAGGCTGAAAAGATTTGGCATGGGCCCTCGGATCCTCAAAAAGTTATACAGCTGCATCTCCACTTGGTATTACAAATGAACTGCCCTCGACCGCAAAGCGCTACCGAGGTTGGTGTGGACAGCCCAGTACATCACTGTGGCCGAGCTCCCTGTCATCCAGGATCTCTATATCAGGCGGTGTCAGAGGATGGCCCAAAGAATTGCCAAAGACTCCAGCCACCCAAGGCATAGACTGTTCACTCTGCTACCATATGGCAAACGGTACCGGAGCATTGGCTCTCGGACCAACAGGCTCCGAGACAGTTACCCCCAAGCCATAAGACTGCTAAATAGTTAATTAAATGGTTAGCCGGACTATCTGACCAGACCCATTCTTGCACGGACTATGTAAAATCTGGACCCCTACAAATCAGCTGGGCTAGACAATCTGGACCCTTTCTTTCTAAAATTAGCCGCCGAATTTGTCACAACCCCTATTACTAGCCTGTTCAACCTCTCTTTCGTATAGTCTGAGATCCCCAGAGATTGGAAAGCTGCCGCGGTCATCCCCCTCTTCAAAGGGGGTGACACTCTAGATCCAAACTGTTACAGACCTATATCCATCCTGCCCTGCCTTTCGAAAGCTTTTGAAAGCCAAGTTAACAAACAGATCACCGACCATTTCGAATCTCACCGGACCTTCTCCGCTATGCAATCCGGTTTCCGAGCTGGTCATAGGTGTACCTCAGCCACGCTCAAGGTTCTAAACGATATCATAACCGCGATCGATAAAAGACATGACTGTGCAGCCGTCTTCATCGACCTGGCCATGGCTTTCGACTGTCAATCACCGCATTCTTATTGGCAGACTAAATTGCCTTGGTTTCTCAAATGACTGCCTCGCCTGGTTCACCAACTACTTCTCAAATAGAGTTCAATGTGTCAAATCGGAGGGCCTGTTGTCTGGACCTCTGGCAGTCTCTATTCTCTGTGTTTATCAATGATGTCGCTCTTGCTGCTGGTGACTCTCAGATCCACCTCTACGCAGACGACACCATTTTGTATACATCTGGCCCTTCATTGGACACTGTGTTAACAAACCTCCAAACGAGCTTCAATGCCATACAACACTCCTTCTGTAGCCTCCAACTGCTCTTAAACACTAGTAAAACTAAATGCATGCTCTTCAATCGAACGCTGCTTGCACCCGCCCGCTAGACTAGAATCACTACTCTCGGCGGGTCTAACTTAGAATATGTGGACAACTACAAATACCTAGGTGTCTGGTTAGACTGTAAACTCTCCTTCCAGACTCGCATTAAGCATCTCCAATCCAAAGTTAAATCTAGAATCGGCTTCCTATTTCGCAACAAAGCCTCCTTCACTCATGCTGCCAAACATGCCCTCGTAAAACTGACTATCCTACCGATCCTTGACTTCGGCGATGTCATTTACAAAATAGCCTCCAACACTCTACTCAGCAAATTGGATGTAGTCTATCACAGTGCCATCCGTTTTGTCACCAAAGCCCCATGTACTACCCACCATTGTGACCTGTACGCTCTCATTGGCTGGCCCGCACTACATATTTGTTGCCAAACCCACTGGCTCCAGGTCATCTATAAATCACTGCTAGGCAAATCCCCTCCTTATCTTAGCTCATTGGTCACAATAGCAACACCCACCCGTAGTATGCACTCCAGCAGGTATACCTCACTGGTCATCCCCAAAGCCAACACCTCCTTTGGCCGCCATTCATTCCAGTTCTCTGCTGCCAATGAATGGAATGAACTGCAAAAATCTCTGAAGCTGGAGACTCTTATCTCCCTCACTAACTTTAAGCATCAGTTGTCAGAGCAGCTTACCAATCACTGCACCTGTACACAGCCCATCTGTAATTAGCCCACCCAACTACCTCATCCCCATATTGTTATTTACATTGTTATTTATTTTGCTCATTTGCACCCCAGTATCTCTATTTGCACATCATCTTCTGCACATCTATCACTCCAGTGTTAATACTAAATTGTAATTATTTTGCACTATGGCCTATTTATTGCCTTACTTACTATATTTGCACACACTGTATATAGATTTTCTATTGTGTTATTGACTGTACGTTTTGTTTTTGTTTATTCCATATGTAACTCTGTGTTGTTGTTGTTTTTATCGCACTGCTTTGCTTTATCTTGGCCAGGTCGCAGTTGTAAATGAGAACTTGTTCTCAACTGGCTTACCTGGTTAAATAAAGGTCAAATAAAAAAATAGCTTAACGCTGTTCACAGCGTGGTAGCCAGGGCACCAAAACAGCGGAGAAGTTGAGCATCGCGCTTCAACGCTCTTAGTTGTTGCGGAAGTTGACCCACTATGCTGTATACTTTCTGCATCTACGCAATATCGCTGAGTCTACCTTTAATCAGGTACCCAAAACTATGATTGACTCACAAAGTAAATATGCTAGTAACATGAATAATTGGTCATTAGAAAACATTTCTTCTAACATTACATAATTTATTAACAATTTAATATTTTACAAGATTTCAACTATAGGGATAGCAACATTGTGCTCTGCTGTCAGACCTACAGAAAGTCAGGAAAAATAAACCATTTGTTGTTGTTCAGAGGAATGGCTGGTCTGTAGACAGCGTTAGCTCCCTGGGAACATTACCAGGTGTGACTGGATGCTTTGCTGGCACCTCCAGAGCTTGGCTGTAAGGAAATTAAAGCATAAGTTAAATGTTGGTACATCCCTCAGAAGATACAGTATAAAGTAAATTCTCTAGCTAAATCAAATATACACCGATATTGTATAATACTGTCAAAAATATTTACTATATTCCAAATATATTGCTTGATTGGCCATTTACAGATGTAAGTGTCTGCATAGGCAAGTTAAGTTGTATTGTCAAGCGCACAATTACAGTGAAAGGCCTTTCTTGCAAGCTCTTTACCAACAATGCAGTAATCAATATCCATAGTCCTATAAAATAAAGTAAAATAGAACAAAAACACACGAGAAATAGAAATAAGAAGAACAGAAAGTAAGTAAGTGATATACAGGGTCAGTGCAAATACCATATTTACAATGTGGAGGGATACTGAAGTGGGAGGGTTAGATATGTATAGTGGTAAGACGACTACGCATCAGGATATATGATAACAGAGTAGCAGCAGCGTATATGATGATTGTATGCGAGTGTGTGTAGTCAGTATGAATGTGTGTGTGAGCCAATGAAGTGTGTGTGTGTGTGTTGGAGTGTCAGTGAGTAGTCCTGTGAGTGAGGCATTTTTCACAAGAGACTAATGCAGTCTAATCTACGCGGGACTGCTTTGACTCTGCCTGGAAACTGTACAGAAAAGTAGTCATATGCACTCTCAACTTCCACCCAGCTTGCCAGAGAAGGAATCCCAACACTTGTTCCACTGTCATAGCCTTTATTATGTCCCACTTACCCAGCAGTCAAGGCCTTTTGACAGGACATCACGATCATGGCTGGTGCAGACTCTCTACGCCCATCTCTGCCATTATAGTAATTGAAGGCAAACTTGTGGCTGGGCCCAACAGGAAGTTTGGGTGGTGGTTGGGTCCTGCACAAAAGATTGTAACAAAGATTGTGGAATTTACAAAGTGTACAAACACCATCCTTTCCTCCCCTCCCATTTGATCGTCATGCAAAACCAGCTGAAAACGTTCTGCCTAAATAGATTCTTAGCTATCATCAAACATTCAATACATGAATGAGTTGCCACTTACCTCTTTGCAATCTCACCGTAACGCATCTGGAGCTTTGCTTGCAGATCATGCTGTGGAAATTTGATCAGGTGAATTAAGTGTAATAACTTGTTTTTAAAGAATATTCCACTGCCAACATGCAATGTCACACAACTAATAAGCTATGTGTCCTTAGAACCAGATCGACAGGCTGTAAACTCTTCAAATGTGTTGGCAACTTGAAATAAATTAGCTAACTTTACATTCATGACACTTGCACTAAATACACAATGTGAAGAGATCTAGCTATGGCTTACCCCCGATAAAAGATTTCTGAGCCTCTGGATAATTTTTGTAGCAGTTGCCATTGTTGTCAAGGGCAGAATCCTTTATTTTCCTTTTCATGACAAGCAATGGGCATTACTGACACCTACCGTTCTGGAGTGATATGTGAAATCAGAATGTGCTGCCATAGGCGAAATTTCCTTCCATAGAAGCCGTCAGGTGATTGGTTGAGCTTTCTTGAGCGCGTGACTTCACATAAAAAATATAAAACAGCTAACGTTAGCTAGCGAAATGCTCATTTGCGACGCTGGCTAACGCGTTAGCTAGACTCGGGAGCTCAGAAGCCAGCGGGTTACATATTACTCCACCATTGGCTGTAATATAATATTTAATATGCCATTAAGCAGACGCTTTTATCCAAAGCGACTTACAGTCATGTGTGCATACATTTTTACATATGGGTGGTCCCGGGGATCGAACCCACTACCCTGGCGTTTCAAGCGCCATGCTCTACCAATTGAGCTACAGAGGACCAACAACAACACCTAGTTCGTTTTAAGACATATGTTCAGCTCCTAGCTAGTTTATCGAATGACCATCGCTTCTGACTGCAATGTAGCTGGCTAGCTAGCATGCTGGCTCACACTGGCTAGCTAACTAGTTAATCGTAAACGCCAAAAGACACAGCTATCTACAATACACTTGGGAGCTCATGGTCACAGCTAACTCTGGTTAGACATGATTACACCACGGGCAAAAATAACTGGTGACTAGTTAGTTCAGATAAATATTTTCAACTCTTCAACTTAGTTTATCCACTGACCACAACATTTAGGAGGATAGCTAACTACTGAACTGTAGCTAGCTAGATCACTGGCTAGGCTGTAGCCACTAACTAATAGTGGATGCATTACCTATTCTTACTTTGATACATTTGGATTAACTTGCTCATATCAAGCAACACATACCAGATCGTTTATGGAAAGGTAAAAATAACAATTAGTGGGCTCGTTTTTTCTTTTAGAATGATCACAATGAAACTAAAATAAATTGGTTGCTAGCTAGCTGGTGAGGCTTACATTAATTTGGTGCTCAAACTGAAGCTGGGTTTCCCCAAGTGTTGGGTCGGTATTAACTGCTCATGACATGCTGACGGCAATAATTAGCATAATTGGCCATGTGCATATAATTGTGATGGATGCTGTAGGAGAGAGGAATAACGTCGTGGAGAGACAAAAAGTGAGTAAAAAACACCCTAAATATGTTTAGAACTACAAATGAACTTTCTTCTGTCGATTCTTGTTTTCTTTAATGTCATAATTCCAACCCTCCTCCTTTATCCGGGCTTGGGACCGGCAAAAGTGACCCAAAAGAGACACTCTGGCGGAGTTACTTAGTTATTATTATTATTTTTTGTATTATTATTATTTTTTTAGTTTAGTTTTCTTAAGTTTGGTTTGGTTTTTAACCGTATGGTCCACTTAGGAGCCTAGAATAAGTCACAGTAAAACATGAACATGTTTAACCCTAACATTTTTTTGTGTATACAATTAACAATCTAAAGAGACAATAGAATAAATTGTTAATGGCAATGTGAGAAAATGATGGTAATTAGTCTGGCCCTAATTCAGGTGAATTTTTTATTTATTTTTTCAGACCCCACTCCACACACACACAGGCTGTGCTGGCTCACAGAAAGAGTGGGTCATCTTCATTTTGGTCAAGGCTCTCAATGGCAGGTTCAGCAACTGAGGGAGCTGGCTAAAATGAGTAAGCAGCTGATGTGCCAAAAAGCTGCTGTCAAGTTGCGTCAATTCAAATCTGGTATTTGGGACAAAAGAGGTCATTACACAGTATCCAAGTTAGTCTAGTATTTATTAATGCAAATGTTTAAATGGTAAGTATGAGAGTTCGTATACGGGCTCACTGTAATACCATGCAGGGCAGACAGAGAACTGATCCATTGTTATGAGTTCTTCATAAAATACTCTGACAGAGATAGTTCCCGCTCCCTGCTGGGCCTATCAGAGGAGAGACTGAGCGTGGTTTAGACTTACTCAGCCAATCCGTTGCCGCACCGGCTGGTCCCAGGCCCTTGGCGCTCCACTGTTGCACACTGTTGCCAGGCATAAATTGTTATCATAACAACCTGTAGAGCCAGCTCCCATAGACACCGTTCCACTGTACCCTAAGTACCTACGTTCAAGGACGGTTCACAGATCACAAAGAAGCAGTGTAGTCTAGTATTTGGAGACACAAGTTCTTATCTTCCCCTACTCCCTAAAACAGCTCCTCACATTAATCACAGCTTGTTAGGTGAAACAATTTATATCAGTACAGTACAGACTTTTTATGCTTTAATCATTAATGCATTCTTTCTAAGTTAGTCATTCCATCAGTTATGAGAAAATAGATCCCCACAATCCCCCTTTTCACACCCACTGGGTGTGAACCCAAAATAAGAAAAACACAGGGGGTCATTCATTAAAATACAATACAAACAAAATGGTTAACTTGAATAATAAGTCATAAAACACAGGATTAATAGAACACAAAACACAAGAATATTAAAACATAAAACACAAACGGGGAAGTACATTTTGACACCCTTTAGACACCCTCTAGAGTGTGATTCAAAAAATGTTAAAGGGAAAATGTAGGATTCCCTCTGTTGACACCATTTATGGTGTCACTCCAAATAACAGTTTGAACAGAATATAAACAACCCTGAGAATAACAGGATATGGAAATTAAATCACATCAAAAAAAAAATATAAAAGAAAAATAATAATTTTAACCCTCTATTTCTCCCCTACACCTAACATGTACTGAGTTGGCTACCAGCCACCCAGGAATCCTTTACCTTCACATCAGGAGGAATAAACAATCACAGTGGTTAGTAAAAACATAAGGTAATAAATGAGCAAGAACTGAAAATATTTTTTTTTAGGCAAACCATGGATCATCCAGCTTGGTCTCAGAGTCAGTAGCAGAGTCATCCGCATCATCCTGGGCCGGTAACAACGGCATCATACCTGACGCCTGCACCACTCTTACCACTGACTTCCTGAGACAGGGGATGATGCAAGCAGCACAACACATTAACAGCAAAAACACAATCACTAGGGTCAGAAATCCAGTAACTACCATAGAATAATACTTACCGAACCAGTCACTTAACCAGGAGAACAGCCCACCACTCTCCACTCCAGCCATGCTCTTCATTTCTGCTGACAACTTATCCAGGCCAACAAGGGCCTTTGTGATGCTCCCGTCAGGGCTAGTATTGTTAGGAATAAACTTACAGCATTGTTCCCCAAACATCTTACACACACCCCCTTGGTTAGCAAGCAACATGTCAAGTGCTAGTCTATTTTGCCTAGCCACCCTAGAGGTGGCCTCTAGTTGTTCGGACATTCCAGTCAGGGCAGTGCGTGTGTAGTTAACAAATCGCTGTTGGTTATAATAGATGTAATTTATCCAAGATCGCTGTTTAGCAGCATCTATAGCAGGTCCTATGATTGGCAACAAATGCCACAACCCATCATTCCTGTTGAGTGCCTGGAACTGTAATGGTACTCCCACAGGCACCCCCAACAGGTTAGAGTGGATCTCCTCTCCTGCTGACCATGGGGCACTACGTCTCCCCCGCCTCATTCTCTCTCTGTCTGGGGCTAGCTGGGCGATCCCCAAAAGTTGGTCTGAGGAAACATCAATAATGGTCAGTGGTACAATCAAACTAGCTAATGCACACGTGCCCTGCCAGTCCCCCTTTAGAATCGGGGTTAGTTTTCTATTTGGCCCACAGATCCACCACACATCAGCCACCCCCTTTGTCTGGGTTTTACCCTCTACTGGCCAAGTGCTGTTCATAGTTACATTCACAGCACAGTCCCCTGGTGGTAGCCTACCATAGTTAACACCCTTACCTGTTCCAGTAATGCAACTGTAATTACCTCCATAAGCCTGAACTCCCGCAGGTGCCTTTTGTGGGGGAACCTCAGGGAAAATCAAACTTAGGGCTTTGCACAGGGTGGTGTTTGGCAGTGAATGGTAGAACTCTTCCAATATGCACTGCCATCCTTCCCCTTCTCCTAAGGTGAATGGGTGGGTTGCCAACCCAGGTCTTGCATGCCCACAGATAACACAATTCTGCCTGACCAGTGTCCTAGCCGTATACCTCATGTATGCCAACCACATATTTTCTTTCCCTTCATAGCCAGTTTCTGTCCCCAATTGGTCGCTGTCCGTTATATCCCTAACATGAATCACCTGAACGGGGTTTGGTACCTTAGTGGGTTGAAGCTGAGCTGGTCCTGGAGTGGTGATGTGGTTCAACTGGGTCTGTCTCTCCCCAGCTGCAGGTTTGGGTGTGACCGCGATGGTGAACATACCCATAGTGTCTGGTCCGGATCGTACTGCTGCTAAGGTGTACACACCTGCGTCTGTAAGTTTAATGTCTTGGATGGTTAGTAGGATTTCATCGCCTTTACATGCACCCCCTTTTGACCCCTGCACACCCCTTATCATTGAAAACCTAGCTGCTTTAGAAGCATCTCCTAATTAATATGGATAGCCTCTACGCCATTCCCAGAAGGTGCCAACATTTGTGATCATATAGTCCCAATATGGACACCACTTTCCCTCACACAGATAAGTACCTCTCTTTAACACAGGGGTGACAAACTCATTTTAGCTCAGGGGCCACATGGAGGAAAATCTATTCCCAAGTGGGCCGGACCGGTAAAATCATGGTATATATAACTTAAAAACAACAACTTCAGATTGTTTTCTTTGTTTTAATACTATCAACATAAAACATAAAGCTGGAGCCTGAGGACAGTGTGTCCAAAATAGTACAAGCACAACATCACTATTAATCATAAAACACCTCAAGTTTATTTGAAAATTCTAAAGAAAAAGAACACACAAACACACAATGCCTCAGTGATTCACATAACTGTTTCACAGATCACAGAACTATATCAGGGTGTCATTTTTCAGGCAGAAATGTAGATACAAATAATGAACTCCTGTTCCCCAAACAAGTGCAAGAACCACAGAGTCAAGAATAGGTTAAATATACAAATAAAATAAAATCAATTAAAAACAATAGCACATCAACATAAAAACATATAAACATAAAGCTGGAGCCTGAGGACAGTGTGTCCAAAAGCACAACATTACTATTAATCATAAAACACCTCAAGTTATTTGAAATTCTGAGGACAAACAACACACAAACACACAATGCCTCAGTGATTCACAGAAGTATATCACAGATCACAGAACTATATCAGGGTGTCTCATGCAGCACTTTAAGTGGGGTTGCATAGTTTATTTGACTCCTGATACCTGGCATCTTTTAGCTTTCACCAGCGCATCAATATCAGGCGTCACATCCTGAGTGGCAGCCAACTTCAGGATGTGATTAAAGTGCTTGTGCGTGAGCCTTGAGCGCAGCTTTGTTTTATTTATGCTCATTACAGAGAACTTGCTCACAAAGATATGTGGTTCCAAACATGCACAACAGTTTTGCAGCGAGGGCTGTCAAGTTGGGGTAACCTGGCAAGAGATTCTGATAAAATGTGTCCAAGCCAGCTGCGGCAAATTTGCCCTTCAAATCCGAGTCACACTGCAAGTCTATTATTTCAAGTTGGATGCTGACGGGCAGATCAGAGGGATTCACGGTGAATGGCGAACAAAAAACTTTGAAGTCTTTCTCCAGTTCACCAAAAATCTGAAAGCGTTGCTCAAACTCCCTTAACAGTCCCGTTATTTTATCTTTGAACCGCTTCATGTCTGCCACATGTTGGGTCGCGCACAAATTTTTCAGACAGGGGAAGTGAGCTGCATCACCACCGACGAGTTGCGTCTCCCACAATGACAGCTTCAACTTGAAAGAACGTATGCTGTCATAATACTGCGTGGCAACTTTGTTGCGCCCTTGCAGCTGTTTGTTCAAGTTATTCAGGTGCTCTGTAACATCCACCATAAATGCAAGGTCCTGCATCCATTCTGCGGAATGAAATTCTAACACTGGTTTGCCCTTTTCTTCCATGAACTGTTCAATTTCTTCTCGTAAATCAAAGAAACGCCTCAGCACAGCACCTCGGCTTAACCATCTTACCTCAGTGTGGTATGGCAGGCCATATATGTGGTCTTTCTCTCTGAGAAGGCTGTCAAACTGACGGTGATTCAGGCTTCTGGATCGGATGAAATTAACAGTTTGGATGACCACCTTCATGACGTTATCCATCTTTAATGACTTGCAACACAAAGCCTCCTGGTGCAAAATACAGTGAAAAGTCAAAAAATCACGTCCTCCATTTGCAGATTGCACTTTCTCTCTGAACTTTGTCACAACGCCTGCTTTTTTCCCGATAATTGAGGGCGCACCATCTGTTGCCAGGCTGACAGCGCGGGACCAGTCCACTCCGACCCTGTCCAGCGCGCCGACGAGTGCAGAGGAAATATCAGCTGCTGTCGTTGTATCTGTCATCGGCACCAACTCCACGAACTCCTCGGTGACGGTCAATGTGTCATCAACTCCGCGGATGAAAATGGCCAGTTGTGCAACATCTGTAATGTCCGTGCTTTCATCAATTGCAACCGAAAACGCAATAAATGACTTTACTTTTTGCTTCCACTGAAAGATCGGAAATCCTGTTTGCAACTGTGTTTCTTGTCAGGCTGATATTTGCAAAAGCCTGGTGCTTTTCAGGGCACACAATCTCTGCTGCCTTCATCATGCATGTTTTTGCAAATTCACCCTCACTAAATGGTTTTGAAGCCACTGCGATTTCATTAGCAATGAGGTAGCTAGCTTTCACTGCAGCGTCACTGATGTCTCGGCTGTAAGTAAACACAGACTGCTGTTTCTTCAGACCCACCAACAGTTCATTCACCTTTTCTCTTCTCCGCTGTCCTTGAAAGTTGTCATATTTGTCGGCATGAAGACTCACATAGTGGCGACGAAGGTTATATTCTTTCAGCACTGCAACATGCTGTGAACACACCAAACATACAGCTTTCCCATTCAATTCCGTGAATAAATAGAAGGATGACAATTTTTCTTGGAACACTCTGCACTCTGCGTCCACTTTTCTCTTTTTTGACAGAGACATATTGGGGCAATGAGGGTGCCAAAGCACATAATGTTAAAAGTAGAAGCCGTAATAAATATCGCGGGCAAAACAAAGTAGCTCATCCGGACTGGCTGCACTTGCTTGACCTATTTGCTCTGCCCCGGTATAAACCGTTTGCTTGCTTAATACAATTGCTATTGCGCCATCCAGTGGACACAATTGGAACAGCAGTTTCTTTTATTGAAAAATTGCAGCTCATTTTTATACTTTACAAAATCATCTAGCGGGCCGGATTAAACCCGTTTGCGGGCCTGATCCGGCCCGCGGGCCGGACGTTTGACACCCCTGCTTTAACACATGGGGATACATTTTGTTACAGTTTTCCTTCTGGTTCCAATTGCAACCAGTGTCCCCAATTCCACTAGCCCTATTCCTCCATGACCAGATCTTACATGGTTCTAGGGACATCACTTGAGATTCCCCTTCCTGTAAGGTAATGACTATATTATGATACTGACTGGAAGTCACTGTTCCCCATAGGGCCAGCCCCACTACTAACCATAACATCCTCCCCTTCTGCAGCCAAGTCATGTTGTACTTGATCTAGAGTTCTTCCTGGAGCTATATCTTTGGCACAATGTGTTCTGTGGTACCACACGTCCTTCTTACTCGTGTTTACCCTCAGCGAGTGACTTGATACCTCTTTCACCTGAAAGGGTCCCTCCCACCTTGGCTCCGTCCACTTCCTGGAATGCACCTTTACTCTCACCCAGTCTCCCACCAGGATGTCTCTGTTCTCGTCCGTGGTTTCAACAGCAGGAGTGCGCACTTCCACCACCTGTTTAGACAATCTTTCAACAAGAGAAATTAGTGCCTACATGTAGTCTGTGTATCTGATTTTTGCAATATCTAGCCTAGGCATACTAAGATTGTCTGCTGGTGGCCCTGGCATTCTGCGTCCTGTCATAAGCTCATGTGGAGTCAAGTGGGTATCAGACCCAGGTGAATGTCTCATTGACATTAGAGCAAGGGGTAGGGCATCTACCCATTTCAGTTTGGTGCCTGCCATGATTTTAGCAATTTTTCGTTTCAGAGTCTGGTTAGCGCGTTCAACAAGTCCCTGCGATTGGGGATGATACACTGACCCGAACTTGTGAGTGATCCCTAGGGCCTGTTCTACCTCTCTCAGGTGTTCATTCTTGAAATGGGTACCATTGTCGGAACGGATCATTCGCGGGACTCCAAACCTTGGAATGAGGTCTCGCCTCAACCCCTTAATCACGGCCTTTGCGTCTTCTCTTGCTGTGGGGATGGCTTCCACCCATCTGGTGAATCTGTCCACCATTACCAACAGGTACCTTTTTCCTTCCACTCTGTTGTCCTGTCCCATGTCCGTGAAGTCTATGCAAACGTCTTGAAATGGTTCATCAGGTATTGGGAAGCTACCTATCACTGCTCCAAGTGACACTTTGTTGTTGTATTGTTTGCACACTTCACAGCTCTCTGATGTCTCTCTTGCCATGTCCAACATGTGTGGATGCCACCATGCTTTCTCAACTGATTTTGTGACACTTTTCCATCCTCCATGAGCCTTCTCATGCTCTTCCCTTAAGATTGATCTGAGGAGTTTTGCAGGTCCCACTGTTTTTCCTGTGTGAGATCTCCAAATCCCATGATGGTCTTGCCTTGCTCCCTGTCTGCTCCATACGTTCTGTTCGTAGGCGCCTGCTGCTTCTTGCAACTGTCTTACTGTGTCTGTCGTCAACTCCTCCTGTCCTTGAGTGGCTTGTTGCACCATCTGCTGGGCAGTGTATCCTCCTGCATCTTTTGCTGCTTGATCAGCCCGATCATTTCCTTCACGCACTCTGGTGCTTTCTCTGCTGTGACCTTTGCACTTCATTATTGCCACTCGTTTGGGAAGCTGGATTGCATCAATTAACTTCTGTACTTCAACCTTGTGTTTGATGGGCTCATTTGAGCTGATCACAAATCCTCTCCTCATCCACTGTGGTCCATCAATGTGTGCAATCCCATGTGCATAGGCAGAGTCTGTGTAGATGTCCACATTCATTCCTTCACTTAGTTGTAGAGCTCTCCTCAACGCCCTAAGTTCAGCTAGCTGTGCTGAAGCTTCATTGGGACCAAGTTTCTCTGCTTCCATTACTTCATGTCCTCCTTCTGTGTCTTGTTTCACCACTGCATAGGCAGCAGTGTTTCCTTCCTTTGGGTCCTTTGACCTGTAGCAGCATCCATCAGTGAACAGGGTGATTTTGTTCCCCTCCAAGGGTGAGTTTTGCAGGTTCATTCGGACTTTGATCTGTTTGGCTGCTCTATCCTCACAGACATGTGGTTCTCCAAGACCCATACCATCGGTCATATTGGTTGCTGTTGTCACATATGTAATGTGCTTTGCAGTGATGGCCTTTGTTATGCTGGATTTTCTTTTACTGGACAGTGTGAAAAGTTTGGAGCCTATAAAAGCGGTCACCCCATGATCTGTATTGATTTCAAGTGGATGTCTCATCACAATGTGGGCTGTTTTACCTATAGCTTTTGCAATGGCAGCCATGTGTCTGGCACAGTCAGTTTGTCCTGTTTCAATGTTGTCCAGTTTCGCGCTGTAGTAGTGTAACACTCTTCTCTCCCCCTTTTGTTTCTGATACAGGATGGAATGTACATAACCGTCCTGCTCAGAAACATCCAAACAGAATGGAGTGGTGTAATCGGGGAAGGACAGTGCTTCAGCCTGTGCCAGCGTCTGTTTGAGTTGGATTAAAGCTGCCTCTGCCTCTGGAGTCCACTTAAGGACTGCTGTGAGGTTTCTGTTTCCTGCTTCTCTCAAGATTGCCCGCAGTGGTTCCACCTTAAGACAGTATTCTGGCAGGTGTGTTCTGCTGTATCCAGTAAGGCCAAGAAATGACAAAAGGTGTTGTACAGTAGTGGGTTTGGGATGTTACATGATGGAGGTCCTCTGGGCCACAGACACAGCTTGTCCCTTCCCGGACAGCACTCTTCCCAGGAACTGGACACTTCTCCGACAGCACTTTCTCTTTCTTTACCTTGTATCCCTTTTTGGCTACCAACAGGAGAAGGGACTTGATGGCCTGCAAACAAGACTCGGCAGTGGGTGCTGCCAACAGAAGATCATCAACGTATTGGAGTAGCGTCACCCCCTCAGGTAATGTTAGTTCTTCCAAGTGGCTCTTCAGGATAGCGTTGAAGATTCCCGGGGAATCACGGTAGCCTTGTGGAAGACGGGAATATGTAAATTACTGCCCTCTGTAGGTAAATGCAAAAAGTGGCTGGGACTCTGGATGTAATGGGATGCAGAAAAATGCATTGGCGAGATCCACAACTGTAAACCAATCTTGGGTGGGTGAAATGTTCTGTAAGGCCAGAATGGGTCTGGTACAGGTCGAACATCTGGTACAGTTACTTCGTTGATTGGTCTGAAGTCCTGCACCATCCTCCATTTCCCAGTGTCACCTTTCTTCACTGGAAGAATGGGTGTATTCCACGCAGAACAGGTTGGATATATAACCTGTCCTTTTTGGAGTCCTGATATCGTAGGCTCAATTCCCCTCGTCTTCTCTTCACTGAGAGGGTATTTAGATTTGTGAACTGGGACAGTGAGTTCACTTTCCTTTCGAATGGAGACAACCACTGGTTCTACATCAACCAGCCCCACATCTTCAGCACTTGTTGTCCACAGTTCCTCTGGTAGTTGATTGAAAATGTTAGGAGTATCCGGATGATCAGTCATCTCCCTGCCATGGTAACGTGATCTCCTCACAACCTCTGGTTTTGACACATCATCCACATTGAGTTTAATTCTCCATACTTGATTTCCATCAAGGAATGCGCTTTCCACGTTGTAACAAGAGGTTTTGTTCCACCGTAGGCAACTTGCTGCCTTTACTGCAGGTCCCAGAGATCTTGCCTCGTATCCAAATCCCACGAGAAGGGTAACATGCGGCACAGAATCACTAGGAAGAGCAAACCATTTGTCTGTGAGCACCACGTCTCCATCCATGACCATGCAGCTGGTAGCCACCCCTTCTTTGAGTATGTACATATGATTGCTGGTCACAATCGGGCGCCTATCGTCCATTTCCTCCTCCCAGGCTTCATCATATGCTTCATCCAAGTCCCTTGTATAGTTCATTGTCATGTGCGGAGGGTCCTCAGGTGGATAGTATGCATTTAAGGTCTGTATCCAGGCCTTCCATAGTTGGAACTCTCTGCATACTCGGGGAGCATCAGGGTCAGTATCCATGAGCTTCAGCCAGTAAACATATGCTTCCTCCTTATCTTCCTCGTTTAGGTGTGTTCCCACATATAGCATGCGAGGGGGGTCGGATAGTTTTTCCATGATTACTGGCATGAGTTCATCAATGGGCGTGATGGATGCGTGTAAGCCCTCCTGGTTACAATAGATACTACATCCCAGTTTGGAAAGCAGGTCCCTCCCCACCGAGCATTCCGGGTTGTATAAAAACTGATGGGTAACCTGTAGGTCATCCCATACAACCTCCAATGGAACTGTGTATGGCTTTCTCATAATAGCCCCAGAAACCCCAGAGAAAGCTTGTGTTTTGGTAGTGAGTTGATATGTTGCTTGTACAGAAGACCATGTACATCCTGTATCAATCAGCATATTATGTTGTCTTCCTCCAATCAAACATGTCACTACCAGCTCTGAACCTGGTGGGAAAGTGTAAATGTTGGTGGTGGGATCCTTATGGGTTTCTGGGCAGCTTCATTGGTAATTGTGTTCGTCACCCAGCCATGACATGCTGGGCAGGAGGGCAGCGTTAGGCACTGCTGGGTCTTGTTTTCGGTTCTGCTGCTGTGGTGGTTGGTGCTGCTGGACTGGCATTCCTCCTCCTTGCCAGCTTCCCCATCCTTGCTGGTATCTCAGTGCTTGTCTTCTGGGCTGTCCCATGTAACCCCTCCCTATTTGTTGTCCCTGTCTTGGGAGATAACAGTGTCTTGCCAGGTGGCCATGCATCCCACAGTTAAAACACCCTTGGTCAGCATATCTAGGGGTGTATCCCTGTTGTCGTGGCGGTACATAGGGTTGCTGGTATGCGGGTGCACCATATCCAGGAGGACCAGAAGGTGCCATCATTCCCGTCATTGCCTGTATTACAGCAGTAACTGCAGCAGTAGTATCATTTCCGGGTGCAGGAGTGGTAGGATTAGATGTTGGGGTACTGGTTACCACCATTTGTTTTCCTGGCTTGTCCTCTGTCAGTTGCTTCTTCAGAACCTTCTTCTGAAGTTGTTTGAGTTCATCCTCTTCCTTTCGCTTACCCTCTCTCCATAGCCGACCCCACTTGCCCTCTCAGTCCCCCAGAGGTCATTATCTCTTTGCATTCCTGGTCACCCATACACCTGTTCATTACAGTAACCATATCACCTATGGTGAGTTCATCCGCTGCGGTGAGACTCTCAAAAGACTTCACCCATCTGTGTCCAGATTCTTCTGGTTGGGGGAGACTGTCCACCAGGGTCTGTATGTCTCTTTGGGCCCATGGCTTGTAAACTGAGGCCCCCCCTGGGGTCTCCCTCAACGGGTACTGCCCCCCTTTGTGTCCTTCTCTGGACTGGGCCCTGGCTCGGGTGTGGTACGCGGGTCCATCATTGTTGTCCCATATGTCTCCATCAAAAGCTCCACATATGAGTTTTTGTTGTTTCACTCTTTCCTCCTCACTCTCTTCCCCGTCTCTGAGGTCAATACAGTGTCCCCTTACTGGTGAGCGTTCACTTTCACTTCTGTTTTTGTTCGCTTTGAGCTCCATCTTTAACTTGTGCAATTGTGCTTCCTGGTGTCGTACTTCCTCTTTTATCATCTTCAACTTTTCCAGTCGTTCTTCATCTCTCTGTCTCTCAAGTCTCTCCCTCCTTTCCCCTTCTTCAGCATCCTTGTTTCGTTGCCACTCCCCCTGGGCTAGACCACCCCTTACGTTTCCTACAGTTAGGCTCATTCTCTCTTCCTTCTCACTCTCACCGTCACCGTCAACACTCCCTCCTCCTTCTGTTCCGCATCTGCTCCCCGTCTCTCCCTCGATTCTACTCAGTTCAAATACTCCTTTTTCTAGCGCTTTTGCAGCTTTTAGAAGTACATACACTTCTCCCCTTCTGTCAGTCATATCACTCTTTCTGACCCACATTCCTTCTTCCTCCTCATCTGTCCTTTGTTGATAGTGGACTTTTCCCACTATATCCAGAACCGGAGCCATTGTTTTTGGGTGGTCGTCATATGGTGGTGGCGCTGTTGGTAGGGGTGGGTATAAACGGGTCCTTTCCTTCTGTCCTGTTTTCTCCTCCCACAGTTTCTTCAATTTTCCAAGCATTGCTAGGCCAATCCGCTCCTTTAGCTTTGCTTTCTACATTGCGTCTTTAATCTTGCCACTGCGGGGCTCTCCTTCATTCTTCCATTCACCTTCTGCTTTCTGGGTTTTCCGCTTCAACGTCTCCAGTATTCTCCCTGGTTCGCCTTCTACAGGCACTCCATCGGGGGACAGTATACAACCATTGTCTATCCATTCCTTATAGAGTTTCTCTCCTCGCCTGCTCCATTCCTTTCCATCTTTTCCTCCGTTTGTTTCAAGTGTGGATTTTAGAGCCTTCAATATTCTTTCCGCTTCTCCACTGGTAGTCATGTTTTTCGTTTTAATTTGTAATATTCGTCCGTTATTTAGTTATTTAAAGTACGTCTATCTATTATTCCCACCTAATTAGTTAAACTCGGTGCCAGATTATTTCAGCCTTAATTATTTGAAAGCAGTATTCTTACAGTGCCACACATCAAATGGTAAATCAAAACGAATAAACCAAAGTGTTTCAATTATTTAACCAATGGTTATGTCATGTCAAATCAAGCGCCACACATCAAATGGTAAATCGAACTAATAAACCAAAGTGTTTCAATTATTTAACCAATGGTTGTTATGTCAACTCAAGCGATAAACCATATTACTTCAATTTAATTTTTTTAAACCAGTATTATGCTATGTCAAACATCAAACGTTACAGTTCAATTATATCAGTTCAAACGTTTCAGTTTAGTCATACTAATTATTCATTATTTTACCTTTACATTATCAAATTCAACCTCGTCTACTATTTTTCTCCCTATCTAAAAAATAAATAAAAATACTCTGCTGAACCTATCCGCACCCCTAAGTTACGGACCTTGCCAGTCACCAGTATTATCTAAAATTTCCCGAACCCAGCCGTATCCTTGAAGTTACGGACCTTGCCGGTGTAATTCTTCTAACCTAGTCGTACTGACGTAGTTACGAACCTTGCCGATAGCAATTACTTAAGTCAATTATTCCCTGTATCTCCGAACCTAGCCGTATTCTCGCAGTTACGGACCTTGCCGATAGATGTCAGTATTGTCTCCGAACCTAGCCGTACTCCACAGTTACGGACCTTGCCGGTAGCACAAATACTCTATGGTACCAGAGTTTAACACTCACATTTACCATACATTTGCATATCACAATAGCGACAATTTCTTATTTACTCATAATAATTCATAATTTAGTTCGCTTACATCAAACAGGTGTTTCACAAAATTTATTTGGATAAAGCCAATGTGCAGAACTTCAGTTATATAACAATAGGTGTCTGCTTACCTGTTGTTAGTAGTCCGGACTCTTTGTGAAACACACCGTCCAATGACAGAGATGTCCAATGGGCCGGACGATATCCAGCGAAGTCCCTTTACCAGATCACGTCGGAGGTCACCAATTGTCAAGTTGCGTCAATTCAAATCTGGTATTTGGGACAAAAGAGGTCATTACACAGTATCCAAGTTAGTCTAGTATTTATTAATGCAAATGTTTAAATGGTAAGTATGAGAGTTCGTATACGGGCTCACTGTAATACCACGCAGGGCAGACGGAGAACTGATCCATTGTTATGAGTTCTTCATAAAATACTCTGACAGAGATAGTTCCCGCTCCCTGCTGGGCCTATCAGAGTAGAGACTGAGCGTGGTTTAGACTTACTCAGCCAATCCGTTGGCGCACCGGCTGGTCCCAGTCCCTTGGCGCTCCACTGTTGCACACTGTTGCCAGGCATAAATTGTTATCATAACAACCTGTAGAGCCAGCTCCCATAGACACCGTTCCACTGTACCCTAAGTACCTACGTTCAAGGACGGTTCACAGATCACAAAGAAGCAGTGTAGTCTAGTATTTGGAGACACAAGTTCTTATCTTCCCCTACTCCCTAAAACTGCTCCTCACATTAATCACAGCTTGTTAGGTGAAACAATTTATATCAGTACAGTACAGACCTTTTATGCTTTAATCATTAATGCATTCTTTCTAAGTTAGTCATCCCATCAGTTATGAGAAAATAGATCCCCACACTGCAAAACATTATCAGGCAGCTGGTGCTCATAGCATTTACATCCCGCCCTGAATGTAAGCCAGGGCGGGATCAGCCAGCGGCGGCTTCTCGCATACACAATTCATTTGCAGTCTGGACGCGGAGGGGTGAACATCTCCTGCTCTGACTGCAGCTGGGAGGGACTGCTGCGCGAGGACTGGGCCGCTTGTGAGTGCTTTGGGACGGGGGTGGGGCCCACGGGGGTGGGGCCCACGGCAGCACCCGCTGCTCGTTGAGAAGAGTAAGAACGATACGTGCTTTCATGTCAGAGTCTCCAACAACACCAGAAAAAGTCGCTAGATATGTCGCTAGTCGATTTTTTGAAAATGTGTCGCTAGAGGGGTCTGAATACTCGCTAAATATAGCGACAAAGTCGCTAAGTTGGCAACACTGCATCTTTAGAGCATCTGTGTGACATCACGCACTCAAGAAGGCTCAACCGTCACCCGACAGGTTCTATGTCGACACTCATGAATATTCAAGAAATTGACCCTGCAATTTAGTCTACCATAGACTAGCATTGTTTTAGCTATCTCGATTCAAGTTATATTAGTCGCATATACGGGATACACATGGTATACGCCGTCCAACCAGGGTCCCCCAATGATTGTTTTTAGCTCATTTACTGCATTTCTAATAAAACACTTTAAAATGCTATTTGGAGAACAGCAAAAACAAGCAAAAATGACCCCTGATAATGACCCATGGCTGCTGTAAGTTCGTTCACCTCAGTCGATCTACAAACACATAGCGTATTAGTAGTGGAGGGTATATGCCGTATACCCACTTATTTTTAAGTGAGCATTGCATATACTCACTTCTGAATCCCCACGATGCGTATCAAAGTAGTGTAGTGGAGGTATACACTGTATCAATGAATACGGCTGATGAAACAGATCAGAAAGTTTTGCTTAAAATGTTGAGAAACTATTATTTCTTCACATTTTAGGCGCAGCAATGTGT